AAAAATAAATTGGTAAACATCTGGAGGGTATTATGCTGAGTGAAGTAAGTCAATCGGAGAAGGACAAACAGTGTATGTTCTCACTCATTTGGGGAATATGAATAATAGTGAAGGGGAATATAAGGGAAGGGAGAAGAAATGTGTGGGAGATATCAGAAAGGGACACAGAACATAAAGACTTCTAACTCTGGGAAATGAACTAGGGGTGGTGGAAGGGGTTGAGGGCGGGGGGTGGGGGTGAATGGGTGACGGGCACGGAGGGGGACACTTGACGGGATGAGCACTGGGTGTTATTCTGTATGTTGGTAAATTGAACACCAATAAAAATTAATTTATAAAAAAAAATAAAAATAAAAAAATAAATTGGTAAACATAAAAAAATAAAAATAAAAATATAAGTATAAATAAATTATAATTACCAGTAACACTACTGGGCAAAGAGGGTGAAATGTAAGATTTCTCTCCTCTCTCTTTCTCTCTCCTCCCACACCGTCTCTAGTGCACTCTGAGCTCCATAAATAAAGTCTAGCTCAACAGTGCATGCACCTCTCTCAGTGCTATACCAACATTCTGTTGGGAGAGATTTCTCTTGTTATTTGTTTATTTATGAATATTCTTTCCATTCTATTGTGATGGCAATTTATACTTCCTTAACATGAGACCTCTGGCCAAGCAAGGATTTCCTGGGACTCCAAGACAGTAAGGTTGCCTGGGATAGTCTGCTCTCAGAGCTGCTCCTGGGGCAGCCTCCTGTCCCCTGCACATGGGCTCCCTGAGCACAGGACAGTCAGCCAGAGTCCCTGCCCTTCCTCACTTCCAGCTTCTGTGATGACACTTGATATTTCTACTCTTTTTGATCATAGCCATTCTATCTGGTAGGGATTGATAACTTATTGTGGATTTGATTTGCATTTCCCTAAATTTCAGATAAATAACAAATAGTTTTATAGTTTATGCCCAAATATTGCATAGCACTTTGCACTTTTCTTTCCATGAAATCTGGCAACCCTATGTGAGGCTGTCTTGAGTAGCAAAAGACATCATCTAACTATTTTTTTATGAGCACATACACACTCTCATATACATATTTCCAATATCTTTTGAGGAGAACCAAATGTAGACCAACATAACTGATCTGAATTCCTTAAAATAAAGCCAATTTAATGATTATGAGTTTTGTTAAGCTATTTTAAAAAGTCCAATGGAGGAATGTTTAAGTAGCCAGTCATCATCTATTACCGGAGAATACTAATGTGTCTCACAGAATTTTCTTATTTTCAAGGATTCCAAAAACGAAGCTTCTGTTGGAAAAAGGGCCTGGCCCCATCCCTGACATGTGGTGGGTGCTCTGCATGTAGTGACTGAATTTGAAATGCCAGGTCCACTCAATGAGAGGTACACATGGTAGAGAAGAGGGAGTGGGGGTTCTAATCCTACTGCAGCAGCTCATGGTTTCATCTTGAAGTGTCTAAACTTCTGTAATTGTATAGCAAAGTGTGAATGTCCAGGATATTACCTACGACCAGTTTTAAAAATGGGGTTACTAATCTAACAAATGAGAAATATTTTTAAGAAAAAGTGTGTATTCAGTACAAAGTGTTATAAACATATAAATTGAAGATGAAAGAGAGAATCTTTTAACTACAGTCCTCAAATCAAATTATATAAAGGACTCCTGTCTGGATTTTCTGAGCTTGTCTAGTTCACTAAGTGTTGGTATCTCATGTACATCTAATTCATTCCATGTGACTAAGTGAAGAAGTCACATTAGATCTCAGACGCTCCCATGGTCAGAAGGGAGCTGTCCCAGGTCGGGGAGAGCAGGTCAGCCTCTCAGAAATTAAAGGAATAGATCCAAGCTTCATCACCTGGTTCTTTGCACAGGGTCTGCCTGAGTCCACACCTGCTCTGACCCACCTGCCTCTCCCCTGGGGCTGAGGTCTGGGGCCATCAGAGCAGTTGTATTCATGGCAGCAGCAGGATGACCTGGGAGGACAGGAAGTACTGCTCCCTTCACAGCCGCTTGATTTCTCTCTTCCTGAGCACTAATAGGATTTTGCTGAGACCCCTCCAAAAATCACACAAGGCTACTATCCTGTCCCACTGAAAGGCTTTTCATACTAGTTTTTAAAATGTGTGCATGTTTTAACAAATATGATCTTTTAGTGCCAGGTAGGGAAGAGTACGGATGCACCACAGCAGGAAGAAAAGTAGAGGACAGGAAAACAATTGTCACCTGTTGAAATTAATTTCCCAGGCCCAGGATGGACCCTTTATACTCTGAGGTGCCAAGTCAGCAAACTGAAACTTTAGCAACTCTCGTGTCCTTTACCAGAGAGACACAATATATCCCAGCCAACCAGGCCCCAAACACTAAGAATGTGCAATGATTCCCCTGTTCTAAGATTAGATGTGCAACCTTAGCCAATAAACTTAAGCTAAATACTATGTCAATGCACTTTCCTGGCCCGCCCCCTCATCCTGTCTGTTTTTCTCCAGCTACTTCTAAGGCTGTATAAAAATCCCATTTGCCCTGAATCCCTGGGACAGAGTGCTCCACTGCTTGTGAGGTCCTAAACTCCCCAATCCACAGACTGTTCTTATTTGAAAAAAAAGGACATTACAGTCTACAAACTAAATTGTTTTAGTTTTGTCATTTGACATACTCATGAGAGTGTTTGGCTGAAGGTTTGGGAAGGCTTCATTACACACTGGAGAGGGTCATGGCCAATAGGCGTTGAGCTTTGAATTTAAGCAGTGTTGGAAGACAAACGGTAACAGCAACGAGAGAAAAAGAGTTTTGAATACTGAGAATGATTAGTAAGACTTATTTTCATAAAAGAAAAGAAAAGGTGTGGATTCTCTTCCCGATAGCAAGATAATCAATTTGGAGAAAATCTAGAAAAGGGAGAAAGTAGGAAGAATAGAGTTCACCCAATTTCTCACCACCCACATTGCTCACCTTTTATACTGAAACTCTTTCCACATGTCGTTTTGCTGTGCCAAGGTCACCCCCATTTTCACGCTCTTTTCCATTTAACATTTTAGCACAGCTGCCCTAAACACTTGCTGAGATTCCGAATGATGAGCCTGGAATATTTTTTTAGCAGAGTATTCTAGTCATCACCTCACTTGCTCAGCACAACCTCAAAGCCTGCATTTGGGGACACTTGAGACTTGAATCTTGGTTATAGCTCAGCATATCTGCCTTTCAGTTTTTATCAAGAGGAGGAGCTCAGGAACTGGATCTGGTACTGAGCACTGAAGGACCCAAGCCTCTCTGCCCCAGCCAAGTCCCCTTCCTGACCATCCCCACTGCCTTTTCATTCCAGGCTGGTGGCATGCTGAAGGGCTATCATTAGCATACCTAATTACCATAGCCACACCAAGGGGTGGGTTTCTCCTACTTGGAATAAGAAAAAAGCATATTTCTTTTCAGATGGAAGTTGATGCTATCTTCACTTCTCAAAGCTTCATTTCAGATGCATTCCTTAGCTGACCCTTCCTGAAGCCCAGTCTTTACCATTTCTGAGGATCTGACACTGGAACTGCAGCAAGCGGTCCTGCCCCCAGCATGCACTAACCCTGGCTTCATGCAGTCTTCTTCCTTTAGCCACCCCCCCCACACACACACACTCACACTCACACATTCACACACAAACATCCCTGATTTTCCATAATTGTAATATTCCCTATAATGCTACACTATGAGAACCCAAGAAATCATCTACTGCAACCCGTCCAGTTTTAGATTAACCTCAACATTTCTTTAGCATTTTCTATGCAACTGGAAAGGCTACATGCATTGCCTACATTCCCTGTTTACTCTGTATGCAACCTAATGAGGTCCCTTTTGACATATGAGGAAAAGGAGTAGAAACAGCTTGCCCAAGACTACACAGCTATCATGTTATGTTAAGACATTTAAATCATCCATTGAGATCTCTGGGAAAAATTCTCCAATGCTAGCTCAAGGAACCTGCTGCCCTTTCAGCAGAGATTTCTGTGCTTGTCCGTGCCTCCCTAGCAAGCTACACACACAATCCTCTATTAGGAACAAGTGGCCATTTGAGGCTTGAGCTTTGTCTCCAGCCAGACCTGGGAACATCCAGACCCAATACCCAGTAGGCATGCAGTCTTGGATAGGTCACTTAAAATACCAACCTGAATTTCCCCATTTCTAAATTGAGGGAAGTAGCAGTTATCCCACAGGGTGAATTTCAGGATTTGATCAACAATGAACAGATATCAGAAAGGGACACAGAACATAAAGACTTCTAACTCTGGGAAATGAACTAGGGGTGGTGGAAGGGGAGGAGGGCGGGGGGTGGGGGTGAATGGGTGACGGGCACGGAGGGGGACACTTGACGGGATGAGCACTGGGTGTTATTCTGTATGTTGGTAAATTGAACACCAATAAAAATTAATTTATTAAAAAAATATACTATGTAAGGTACCAATAAAAATTAACAAAATTATATGACCTTTATGAAAAAAAAATGAAATTTTTTAAAGACTTTTAAAAGACACACTTAAATATAGGCATCACAATTATAGAGAGTATTTTTTATAGAGAGTATTAATTAATACAGTTAACATATTGGCTATACCCAAAATCATCTTTAATTCTAAAATGATTCCAATAAAAACCCTGACATGGATAAAAAAAAAAAAAACAATGAACAGAAATCATTTAGTGTGGTGCTCAGATGTGTGGATGTCCAATTACAGATTGCTGTTCTCACTGGTGCTGTCATGCACCAATGTTGCTCAGTGTTTCTCAGCACCCTGAGCATTATGTTCCCTCCCCCATTGTGGTCAGATCTGTCCCTGCCCTCTGGCACCTCCTTACATCTTCTCATCATTAGCTGCAGGTGTGTCAAGGAAGCAGAGGCTCAGAACTTAACTGGCCCTCTGTCACCCACCAAGGTAGTCTCCTCCCAACAGGTGCATTCTCGAGGTCCCCCTGGGCTTCTTCCCACCAGGCGGAAAGCTGAACCATGCTGGGTCCCCTTGCTGTCCTGTGTGCCCTCCTGTTTCCCGGTAAGTCCCGACTCCATCCCTTGTGCAGGGTGTGGGGGACAGCCTGAGGTTCCTGGCCATTTCTGTCTCACTGCTGTCCCCCTCTCCCTCTCTCAGGTGGTGGAGCAGGGCTCAACCTGGAGCAGAATCCTGTGGCTGTGGAGCGCTTGGACACTTTGGCCATCCTAAAATGTCAAGTGGATACCTGGGTCTGGTATATCAACTGGTACTTCCATCAGGAGGGTACAGCCCCCAAGTGGCTCCTCTACCTAGACATGTCCACCGGGAAGGTGCAGAGGGATGCATTTGTGAATGCAGACAAAGTCAGTGCCCAAAAGGGCAAGGACAGTTACAGCTGCGCCTTGTTGGTACAGAGGCTGAGGAAGAGCGATGAGGGCGTGTACTACTGTGCTGCCTGGGAACCGCACAGCTACTCCTGCTGCCCTGGTCTCCGTGCAAAAAGGTCTCCGTATCCTAGGGCACTCCACACCTGGCACGTTCCACTGGCTCTAGAACTCTGGGGTTGTCCCGAGGTCAACCCTCAGCTTCTAGGACTCCTGCGAGCGTCACCTCTGTGAGTCCACGGCACAGAACCCTGAAGACTAAGGAGCCCCTGGGGCTCTGGCTGGCTCAGCCCCAGGGAGCTGTTCAGCCTGGAGGGATTTTTCTACAGGTTGTCAGGGGCAGCATTTTTGAAGAATTTGGAGTAGAATGTGTGCTGCTAGCCACATGTGGGTACTGAGCTCTTGAAATGTAGCTAGTCCACTAGTCCAAGCTGAGATGGGCTGCTTGTGTAATATACAAGCCATAGTCTGGTGTCTATAAAAAAGATAAAATATCTTCTTAGTAATTTCTATATAGTCAGATGTTGAAATATTATTTTGGATATCTCACAGTAAATAAAAGTAATGCTAGAATTGTATTTGTTTCTTTAACCTTTTAAATGCAGGAGTCTGAAAATATTTGTGTCTCCAATTGTGATTTGTATTTATTTTCTACTGAACAGAGCTGTGACAGATTGGTGATTGAAGAATCTGACCACGTCTGCGAAGAATGTGGTAATAAAATATGGTGCAAATCATTTCAAGAATAAGGACTCTCTGGAGATTTACCACCAAATAGTTGAAAGCTGAGAGTAGAAATCACCACTTGATTCCACTTTCTATGTTGCTGCCCCACCTCCTGCTAGTTACTTGCAGTGGAGGGTCAGGGAGAAGAAGCTCAGGAAGCTCTCAGTACCCTCGTGCACTGGCATGTCTAGGGCTCAGCTCCTGTGGGGGGACATGATCCTCAGGCAGGTGCATCCATCAGCCCTAAAAGAGACCTGGGGTCCTGCACCTTCTGCTTCTGCTTAAATGCTCCTGTATATGGGATTTGGAGATCAGATTCCCTGCACCTCTGTTCTCTCTTCTGTAAAATGAAGTACTTTAGCTGACACAGAAATGTGACTGATTTCTGTAATAAACCAAAATTGTTTATTTAAATTGTTAGCCAAACTTCTTAAAGTTATGCAACTTATTGAACAAAAAAAAAAAAAAAAAAAAAAAAAAAAAAAAAGAAAAGAAGAGCTATATTACTGCTTCTCCAGCCTCAAAGAAGGAAACCTCTGCCACTGAATGTGGGGAAAAGAAAAAGCTCTCTGAGGAGGTCTAAGCTGAAATAAGTGCATTTTCTATTGAAAATCAAATTTTATGTGAATCGTAATCGCATTGGTGAAAATGATTACTGTAAGGAAAGTCTACATCATCTGAAGTAAATTGTCTTCAGATTCACTAACTCCTCATCTATCTCTTTGAGCTTCTCCTTCTGTGGTGAAAGATTTGTATTTAAGATAGGCATGAAAGAGCCCAACCAACACTTCAACCTTCTACTGAAGGCCTGGGTCAAGGCCAAGATGTCCAGCATGTGTAGGAAGGGATTAAGGGGAGGAGTAGAAATTTACCTTTTATCTATTCTGAAGATGTTCCTTTATTTATCTTCCCCACTGTCCTGATACCACTGAACCCTTTCCTCTCAGTGCCTGACTCCACAGAGCACTGATCTGAGACTTGACTATTACCATTTGGTTAGAGACATATTAGCCAAATATGAAGACACTGTCATGAGAAGTCATGCTAAGTCAATGCAAATCTCAGTTTTTAACATGGTTCCATAGTGCCTTTGAGTTACCTTCTGAGAGGACAGAGGCCTTGTGCATGGAGCAAACAACTCCTATGTGGAAGGAAAAACAAGTCCATATTTGGAGTCAATTCCTTCCCCTGCCTTTCTCCTTGTGGGTAAGGTGAGCTTAACCAAAGACATCAAATGTCATGTCTGTTGCCTCAGAGTCACCTTCTAAAAATCACAAATATTAGAATTTCTTGGAAACCTGGAAATCCATGTTGACTGTTTTGTGTTGGGAACTCCTTATGTTCCACCCAGAATGGGTTCAGGGACACAGTCTCGGGTAAGGAAAGGGCACAACTTGGAGAGGTTTCTTCTAAACACTGGGATCAGGAGACCTTCTACTATGTCACTTTCATACACTTACTTTCTCATAGAAAACCTACATGACTTATGAATTTTATTTTAAAATGTATTTTTAAAAAGAATTCACATGTTACTTAGTATTAAATTTCTTGATTACTAATGATCACTTAGATATAACATGCGAAATCTGATGTTTAGAAATGTGTGTAATAACCTCTCTCTTGACCATTATTTCTCCCCTCTACTCCAACAACCTTAGCTTCATTTACAAAACTAAATCTAGTTTTCTCTGTGGATTTCCAGGGACTCCATTGCCAGTTAGATACAAAGTTCATGCCTGAAGAGCTCAGAGTAACTTTTTGGGCTGTGTATGCCTTTTCCCCTGTGTAGGACAGATACCAGATACTACAAATACTCAGTCCTCTTATTAACATTATACTGTAAGTTCTTTTGTTTCTTCACATCTCTTTTGTCCAGATGCAGAAGAAGGAATGACATCATGTCAAGCAGAATTGCACGCAACTATAATTTTATTCAAAAAAGTTGTTTGTCACTTCTGTTTCCTGAAAACATGATATGCTAACATTCAGGAAGGTTGATAGAATATCAGCCTCAAATATTCATCTGGAGACTGAGAAGAAGATAGACTTTCACATAGGAACCTGTGTGTCCCCTGCTTTGGGGACAGTTTCTCCACCAGGCAAAGAACCAGCTCAGATGCTGAGGGGCACACAGGCTGGATTTGGGGAAATCTTCTGTTTTGTGCTCAGTATTGATGCACCACTTTTCTCCCCATTGCTCTTTGCCCCAGGCACCTAACACCTGTGGATTACAGTAATGGGAATCTCTGCTCTGATTTCCAATGGAAAGTTGGCCAATGGAAATTGAGGTTCAAAGAACAATCACCATGTCACCTACAGAAATATTTCCTCTTGGGCACTAGATTGCCAAGCCTGTGGGTCCAGGGCCCTGGAATAAAGAAACAAATTCCTCCAGTAGGTTGAGTGGTATAAAAAAGAATGTCCTCTCTCACCTGCACCTCTGGGTCCCTAAGCATAAGCCTCTGGGTATGGGGGCAGATGGTACTATAGGTTGGCCCTGGGAGGATGCGGGCCCCCTTTTAGGGAGAGGACCCTAAGCTCATGCTGCTCCTACTTCCCAGTCTCTTGCTGATGTTTCCATTAGTTGCTCCCAAACAGGAACCAGAGAATAAGGAAAACCATCTGTGCACTCCATGAGGGTCTACCTCCTTTTGCCCAGGGGAAGGTAAGAGAGGTAGACTGTCCATGGAGGAGCAAAAGAATGAAATTGGGAAGACAGCCAAATAAATGGGTTGCATTTGCCCCTCCCCCCCAATAAGTAAAGCAATTGAAGAGTTGGGAGATTTTATCTAGTTTCTTTCATTTCACTTTCCACAAAGCCACCAAGGCTTCATCTTGAATGGTATAGGATGTGCCCTATTCTTTCAGTCACAAAACAGGAAACTGGACAAGTGTTGAGGGATTATCATTAACTTCTGTACTTTTCTAGATGATACACTTGGTAGAAAAATCATGTAGATTATTTCTAATTTTTTAATTCTTCAGTTAAATATTGGATTCTGAGGTATTCATCAAATTATTAAGTAAGTCATCATCACCTAAGTAGAAAAAGTAAAGAGATCTCTGTGTAGATAAATGATTATAGTACCAGTATTATGCTGAACCCAATTCTGTGTTCATGATGTTCCATAATACAATAAACAAGGGTACGGTAGTAAAATAATCTTATTAACACTTATTAAAACAAAGAGATGCTTGCCACTTTCATCAGGTCAACCAAAATCCAGCCTTTCATGTTTATTAGAATTTATCTATCTTTTCAGTCCTTCCTTCCTGGAGGCAGTTACTGTTCATGGTGAGCTGATCATGGGGACTTTTATCTTCATCTTTATCTTTTTTCTTTAAGTTTCTTCAAGGAAGACCTTTGTCCACATGTCCTGCTTAGCAGCCCTGTGATATTCCTTGAGTCACATGTCACTTCTCTGTACCGCACTGTCCTGATCTATGAAATGAGAACTGCAAGCTTCCATATCATGTGATTGCTGTGAAGATGGAAAAGTAGAGGAATATTTAGGAAAAAAATGTCTATCAACAAAAAAAAATACTCATTAATATTATCTGATTTTTTGGAGGGGGGAGTGGAGAGGCAGACAGGGAGAGAGAATCTTAAGCAGAATCCAGGCTCTGCACAAGTCCCATGTTAGACTAAATCTCATAAGAGATCATAAACTGAGCAGAAATCAAGAGACAGATGCTTAATCAGACAAGGCATCCCAAATATTTGCTTTCCTGAAAGCTAATGTCTATTGAACATGCAGCATTTTAAAATATTATACTAAGAAAGTATGTTCATAAAACAGTTTCTGACAGAAATAATTCTAATTTCCACAGAAATCAAGACTACACCATTTATTTACTGAAGGACAATACAAGGAACAAGATATTGTCCCCTAAGTGGAGACAGAACAGATGGTGAACATTAACTGACAAATCCTTACAATGTGCTCAAGCACAAGTATAGGATTTCAGAGAATAAGTGAATGTCAATAATTTATTCATTGACTTTTCAACATAAAACAGTGAAAAGTCTATTTCTTACTGTAGAATCTGCAGTGGGCTTCTGTGGGAATACAGATCTTTCCTTGCAACTTTCCTATATGAGCTACTCACCTTAAGGATAAATTCCCCAACAAACATCAACATATTCATTCCCTCTGTCCCCTATTTGAAGGCCCCATGGTCTAGTGTTCAACTTTGAGATCTCCTCAGGGGAAAGAGGGATTTGCAGGCCAGGCACATACAAGAGATGGAATTCCATGGGATCCTTCAGCCCTTCTCCCACCTCAGTTGGGTTCATGTTCTTTGTTGGTTGTTTTAACTCATGCTGTTTATGACCACAACAGTATCTTAATGGGGAGACCATTGCTTTCTTGAGTTTGATCAGAACCTTCCT